ATAGTAATTGCACAACTAATATTTGCAGTAATAATATTTCGATATTAATGGCACGGGAAAGCTGTGCTAACATTTATAAATACATACAATCATTGCCACTTAATGTTCAAAAAGGGAAAATTAAACTTGGGGATTTGTAAAAAGTACTTTTAGCTTAAGGCAGTTTTTTGTACTTTACTAACCTGTTTTCTTGTTTCTCACTATGCTTTACTCTCACCTTCAGTGTAACCTGCAGCAGTTTCAGCTCTTGTTCCAGTAGCTGTAGCTCAGAAAACGGTCCTCTATAATCATCTATAGAGGAAAGTACAGCTACCAAGGCATCCTCTAGTCCACTGTCCACTGGACCATCGCCCTTAGCAGACAGGCAGTTGGAACTTGAAGCTGGGATATCCTCCTCCACTGGCACCTGCAGAGCGAGATATGTCATATCCCCACTTTCTACAACATTGAAGTCTGCTCCTGCTCTCAGAGGGGCCGATGTATCCACAGAGGTGGATGTATTGTGTTGCTTCCTGACTGGGTGGGGATCAGTGACATCAACAGCTGTGTCAGTGTCAGCAGAAGTGGGTGACTCAGGAGTTCTGCTGGCCACCTCCATTTCAATGTCATTGATTGAGATTCCAGAGACCAGAGACATCACGTCCCCCGATTCACTGACAGGCACCACAACCCCATCAGCACTGTTTTCACTAATGTGACTCAGAGAGCGTAAGTACAATGTAGAGTTACTGCTGGTAATTATCGGCACATCCACTGGTGCCATAGAGGAGCGTTTCCCCGCAGCTTCTTCCTCACCGTCAGGCTTTGTTATCACAGTGACTGTCCCCTTTTCCTCATGCCTGCAAAATAGTTCATATATCAGATGTTGATAGAGCTCACCATAGAATAAGAATGTTATTTCATCCTTGTTCTCATGAGCAAACAAAACATTAACATTTTTTTTAATCTACCTGTTGCTCTCCGCTGGTTGTTTTGGTAGGATGATACCTTCCTTTTGAGCTGAGGAAGGCCAGTTTCCGGAGCAAGAAGAAACATCAGGCTGAAGGAGGGAACTCCTTTGTCCAACTGGCTGGACGTCTGGTGTCACCACTACTGCCTGGAAAGAGAGACACGCTAAGTCACAGAGTTAAAGTAGTAAACGCAGTAAAGTAAGCAAACCAGACCAGGATAAAGAGTAGACCGAGTGAGGACTGAGGCTCGTTAAAGAAACCAATTGTGCATGGTACCGGCGGCTCCTCAAGCTACTGAATCATGCAATGTACTTAGTTTTTACAAGACTGTACACATGCACATGATCTGCTGTACATACTAAAACTTTGATATGTATTATGTTTAATCTTGTATTCATAATACTTTTGTTACTGTGTAATGTTCAAACAGCTGTAGCCCCTCTGAATCTGAGGAAGAGAGATACAGATTGAATCCTTAATATTATCATGTCATAGATGAGTTCCATATCTGTTGTGTGTTACCTTTGGATGTGCAGGCAGCTGTGGGCTGGTTGAATCATCAGAAGATTCTGAAGAATTAGACCATGCTGGTCCATTCTCCAACTCTCCCTGTAGGCGGATCACGTTCTAAAAGAGATCAGCACATTTTAAAAGGCTTGACTGCAAAAAAAGGGGGGAAAATGGAGACCTTTTACAACAAGCTGGCAGGAAACTGAGCAGTCACTGCACCTGGTTGTACATTATTTGAGCAAAGGCGACACACTTCCTTTACTCACATATTTAAAGTGAAAAGTAAGGTGAAGGCAAGACATGAGTCAGCATGTTATCCGTTTAACCAAAGGTTCAGAGGTGACTGTATGGGAACTTTTTTCTATTTGCTTGCCATTTTTAATATCAGTATAGTACAACATCCTTAGTCTAGCTCTGTAACACTGTAGCATTTATTTATAAAGAGAATAACTTTGAGTTACGCAACTATCGTGTAATATTCAAGAAAATACTGGCCAGTGCTACCCCTCAGCCTCCTCGTAGATCCACCCTTCGTTTCAATTTCAAAATCCTATGTCACCTTGTCGTCTAACTTCTGACCTTGAGGTCAAGGACAATGAGATTCGAACTCATCTGAGATGAGTCTGCTTTTAGTAGATATATCTATGGTATCGATTTGAAAATATAAGGAGACTTCATTCTCGAGTTATTGCAAGATTCTCAGAAAAGGTGACCTCTGATCTTTACCTGGCAGGGTGACAAATATACTGATGAGGTAAAAAGCTAAAGGCTTCAGTGCTTGTGTGAAATGGCTAGAAGGAGTTCTAAGTCTAAAAGTCATCATCATAAACTGGCACTGATGATGGCTAACAGTAGTCAGCTCTGTTGGAAGGTGGGGGTCTAAATATTATAATTAGAGAGCCATGGAGATGCATGAGGAAACCTTACACACATCTGTCATGGCTCCATGAAGCCATAAGCACACAAATGGAGACTATGATTCTAATGCTTACTCTACACCAAAGTATCAATATACCAGAAGGTCCTGTGTTTCTACTCCACGAGGTCTACTTCATCACGACTTACTGCAGTGGACTGCCTTGTTGGTGAGTTGTCACTACAGGAGCAGCTCTGGCTAAGAGTGCCTCTGAAGATGTCCAGCAGTGGCCAGTGCTGCCGCCGTGTCAGATTCCGAGGCAGAGACTGGACATCAAAGTGGCAGCAGGTGGAACAAAGGGCATTGGAGCAGTTAGATACTGAGGGCTGCTGGCTAAACTCTAATGTCCTTTAAAACTCTCAATGTTCTCATTTACAGATTCCTAATTTTATTTGGTGGATTAAATCTATAGAATAGATTTAATCGGTTATTTTTATTTTTTTTTAAAAAACATTGTGCTTTGTTTTTTTTATTAAAGCTGTGTTTGACTCCTCTCTCTCCTCCCCCTCTGGAAAAGGCTGTTTTTATCTGATTGGTGGATCCCAGGAATCCCAGGAATTTAAAACCTAGTGGGTGTTTAATCACGTGCATCATCACATGAGCCAAGGTGTGAAAAGAAAAGAAAAAAGGCGTGGATCATGACCACCAGAGGTTTTGGGTGAAACCACTGTGGGACCTTGTCCCATGCTATCATGTGACCTATTAAGGTCATCAGACGTAAGACACGAGTGGGGTTTGAAGGACTGGGAAGGGATCTCAAAACTATGTTGTAGGTGACTGACAGTTGGTGTTGGACGCCACCCCCTCATGGTTGTTCATAGTGGACACTGATAAAGATGCACACCCGAGTCTTATTGAGGTGGCTCTTCTATGCTGTGCCATGCTTCGAAAGGAGTGGCAATTTGGTTTCCTCAATGTAGAGGCCTGAGCACACTGATAAGTGTTCTTGCTTAGCATGTGTCTGGGAGTTTTTTCCTTATTCCTAAAGGTATTATCCTTTAGAATTTAGATGTTATGTTTATAGTTTTTGTCATTTTCCATTTCATCAATCCGTCTTTCTCCTGTTAGTGCTGCTTCCACATTTAGTTCTCTTTTCCTCCATTTTTCTGTCAGTGTTGTGTTCACATAGCTCATCACACACATCTGTGTTTACAGACTGAATATTTCCCATTTTTCCCTGTGAGTTTGTTTTTTCAAACAAAGTGTCAAGCCTTCATTTACTTCCTGTTTAAAAATAATTTTCCTATTGGCTCTTCCTTGTTGGTTTTCTCTGTGAATGAATTTCTGCCTTGTTTGACTTCCTGTGTTTTGTTTTCTAGCACTTTACAGAGAGTAAAGCTTCCCTTTCAGCTATTTTCTGTTGTGAGTGGGCCTATTCCTCCTGCTAAAACCAACAGTCTTTGTTAGTTTTCCAACTATCTGTATATGAATGCCAAGATAATACACATTAATATATGGGTAGTAAGTACGAGCAATCAGCAACTTTACACAAATTGTTCTAGGGTTAGACTGAAGCCTTTCAAAGAACTAATAGTCTAAAGCGAATGCTAAACTCACACGTAAAGGTGGTGTGTCAGGTGGAGTCTGGTCAAAAATGGCTGAGATTCGCTTATTGATGCTTGGTGGTTTGTTGACAGTGCTTGCAACCGATCCCTGGTCATCTTTATCAAACGGACTGAGAGAGGTGAAAAGGAATAAAGGATGGGAAAGAGAGAAAAGATAAATTCAATAAACATCAAATAATATTTACATTATGCTCTGTTAATGATCCCTTTAAATGAACAAACACTACAGCACTCATGAAGCTCAGTATGATTTCGTACCCTCACAAGATGACTGACAAAACTTACTTCCAGGTCACCTCAAGGCTTAGCTTAATAGTCCCAAGGTCATTAATATCCACAGCAACCATCTGGGGCAGCGCAGCAAACAGGTCCTTTGTTTCACAGGAAACACTTCCCACCACCACGTGATTGGCTAAGCTCTTTAGCTCTGTCACCTAGGAAACCAGAGAAATATCTGATCATTATACCATCTTTTTTTTTGCCTTCAACAAGTCCGTTTCAATCATCCAGGCTGAAAATAGTACACCCAAGTTTGTCAAGGTGCTGATGTCATTGGGAAAAGATATTATTATTAATAACACAATAGGATCACACAGTGTCTTTTATGGCTGAAGGGTAAAAAACTCACACATTCACCAATAATAATGGACAATATGAAGTTCCAGAGGATATTAAAGTATTATTCTTTGATAACTGAATTCAAAAAGGTAAACTTTCATACATTGTATATTCACTACATGCAAAGTGAAATATTTCAAGCTTTTTGTGTTTACATTTTGATAACTATGACTTAAAGCTCATGAAAATTAAAGATCCAGTTTCTGAAATTAGTACATTTCATTTTGAAATGATCAAATGATGATTAAATAAAAAGACTTTCTGTTGGTTAAAAAGGCCGCTGCAACGATGTATATTAATGGATGATGTATATTAATTAATGACTAGAAGGAAAAGGATGGTTTTGAAAAGGTGTAAAAGAAAGAGTATTGTCAAGGAAAATTGAAACATTTGGGACAGCTTTATAAAGAGTCAACTGAGGCTGGTGTCAGAGCATCAAGAGCCTCTACTCAATGTCTCTGGGAAAGTCAACTGCCCCCATGCCACAGAGCACAGATGCAGTAATGCTGACCCAATGAAGTATTGATTGTATGAATTAACATCTTTTCAGTACTTTCTGATTGGTCTTAGGAAATAATCTAAAAATTTTAGATGTTGCATTTTTGATATTCATTAACTACACTATGATTGGTCAAAATGTAAACAAAAAAAGCCTAAAATATGTTGCTTTACATGTAACAAATACAAGCAAGTAAACTTTATGTAATAATTGATTTTTTCAGTTTTGAAGAAAATGTTACACACACACACACACACACACACACACACCCCTCAGATTTTTTTTTTAGATGCATTATTTTTATGACTTTTTACATAAGATGAAGCAGTCAATGACCCAAACCAGAACTGAGTATCAATAAAATTACAAATTAAAAAAAACCCCAAAAAAAAAAAAACCACACTGAGTGACAGACCTTCACAGACAGGAACTCGTTGATGAGTGGCTGAAATACAATCTCTTCACTGTCCCACACTTGTTTAGCATTTATCTCTATTCGCCCCCGGAGCTTCCACCGCTGCCGACCATACTTCATAAAGATCTGAAACATACACATATGCAAAAACAAACAAACAAACACAAACGCAGGGTTATACAAATAGATGAATAATAAATTAATTTTAAAATCTGGAAAATCCGGTTGGCTACTTCAAAATTATTGATAGTTTGAGCAGTTTATATAATCATGTGATGATTTTCATAAAGCTCAGATTAATCTGACAGGGTTGAAAAGAATTGACAACTCACATCTTAACTACATAGCTATAAATGTCAATGGCTAGAGCATGAATGTGCAAGTGATGAGGCCACTTTTACAAAAACAAAAGTATCCCTCTAATTTCATAACTGATCATACACACAATCACACAGGACCTGCTGCCGTGTACACTTAGAGATAACTCCACAGGGAACAGCTGAAGCAGTGTTTTCACACAGGCACTGGACAAACCCTTCTCAAAACCGCGATAAGTCTAAATGGTTTACTATTTATATAGCAATTTGCTGTATAAATACTAATATTGCTTAGTGAATACTTAACACACCTTTACAATACAAGCCACAATGACCCATTCATACAGCAGATTTCATTCTGTCATTTGTGCACTCTATGCAGTCTATCATGCTGATGCACCAGAGGACATCGCCTGCCCAGCAGGGTGGCAACAATAAGTAGCAATTTTATTTTAAAAAGGACTAAAAAAACAACAACTTAGTAACGAGAAAAAAAATGACTACATAACATGTGCTACAGACAAGTGTTAGTAACTGGCAATGAGTCTTTCGCATCACCATGGAGGAACTTTGACCCACTCTTCTTTGCAGAACTGTTTTGACTCAGCCACATTGGAGGGCTTCTGAGCATGAATGACCTGTTTAAGGGTCATGTCAAAGCATCTCAATCGGTCCAGACTTTAAGGCCATTTGGTTCAGCGCATGAACTGATAAGCCAGACATTCTCCTTCAGGATTTGTTATTAGAGAGCAGAATTTATAGTTCATCAATTACAGCAAGTAATCCAGGTCCTGAAGCAGCAAAGCAGCCCCAGACCCACCAGCATGTTTAACTGTTGGTATAGTGTCATTTTCATGAAAAGATGTGTTAGTTTTATGTCAAATGTAACAGAGTCAAACCATTTTGTCTCATCAGTCCACAGAATATTTTCCCACAAGTCAATCATTAAGTTGTGTTTTGGCAAATGAGCAAAGGAGCCTTTGTGTTCTTTTTGGTTAGCAGTAGTTTTCTCCTTGATTTCTCCCATTTTCCCCCAGTTTCTTTCTTACTGTTGAATCATGAACTCTGACCTTAACAGAGACAAGTGAGACCTGCAGTTTTTCAGATGTTTCCCTTGGTTCTTTTGTGACCTCCCGGATGAGTCATTAATGTGGTCTCGGATGCTCCTGGAAAGTTTTCCATGTGTGGTTAATTGGTCTCACTATGGTTACTAAAGCCTTTGGAAATGGCTTTGCAACCATTTCCAGACTTATAGATGTCAGTGATTTTGTTTCTCTGGTGTTTCTTTAGAATATGGCATGAGTTGTTGCTTTTTGAGATCTTCAGACCTGCTTCACTTTGTCAAACAGGTTATATTTAAGTGATTTCTTGATTTATCGGGTCTGGCAGGAGTAAGGCCTGGGTGTGGGGCTAGTGAAATATAACTCCGCTTTGCAAATAATGTGGTTAATCACAGTTAATTCATGATTTAATGAGGGGGCTTTAACTTTTTCCACACAGGGCAGGTAGACTTTGATTATTTCCTTTATTAAATGAAATGAACATTTAAAAACTCCATTTTTTATTATTTCAGATTACCTTTGGCTAACATTACATTTTATTTTTCAATTGTGTTTCTATGGATGGATGTGAATGGATAAATGAGGCATGTTGTATGGAAAGCTCTGAGAGCTCAGAAAAGTGCTTTGGAAGAACCTTTCCATTTATAATTTGAAACAATTAGTGTGAAGAGTCACAAATATGAGAAGAAAAAAGAAGTTGCCTAATAATTATGCACAGTAATAGTCACCTGCACACACAGATATCCCCCTAAAATAGCTAAAACTAAAAACAAACTAAAAACTACTTCCAAAAACATTCAGCTTTGATATTAATGAGTTTTTTGGGTTCATTGAGAACATGGTTGTTGTTCAATAATAAAATTATTCCTCAAAAATACAACTTGCCTAATAATTCTGCACTCCCTGTACAATGGCCCAGAGGACACCAATACACTGGAGTTTGTAGATGTTAAATGAAGTAGGCATATTTACAGTGTCTGGTATTACTGTGATTCAGGTTTAATGACCTTCAGATCATACTTTCTTTGCTTACTGATTAAGACTATGTCTCACTGTGTCATTACACTGAAGTGTGCAAAGGCTTGGATGGCTGGTTTTCAGTTCATTTGTCAGCACTGACCTGCCATGTCGACTCCTCTTATCACCATCCTCTTCTTCCTCCTCCCAGTCTGATCCATTCAGGAAGTCAAAGCTGCCAAGAGCTGTTTCCACTGTGAGGCTGACTACACTGGGTGACCGGCTGTGCCTCCCACCCTGCACTCACAAACAAAGCCATAGTCAGGCTGTACGCAGTCACTTCAGTTTTTTGTTTTTTCAGGAGTTCTTTGAATCATAGTCACATAATGTTGGAACAGCATGCAATCATTCAGCTCAAATGTATGCTGTCTGTAAAGACAAGGGAGGCATACCAGATACTGTAACCACTGAAACTTATATAGTAATTGCACAACTAATATTTGCAGTAATAATATTTCGATATTAATGGCACGGGAAAGCTGTGCTAACATTTATAAATACATACAATCATTGCCACTTAATGTTCAAAAAGGGAAAATTAAACTTGGGGATTTGTAAAAAGTACTTTTAGCTTAAGGCAGTTTTTTGTACTTTACTAACCTGTTTTCTTGTTTCTCACTATGCTTTACTCTCACCTTCAGTGTAACCTGCAGCAGTTTCAGCTCTTGTTCCAGTAGTTGTAGCTCAGAAAACGGTCCTCTATAATCATCTATAGAGGAAAGTACAGCTACCAAGGCATCCTCTAGTCCACTGTCCACTGGACCATCGCCCTTAGCAGACAGGCAGTTGGAACTTGAAGCTGGGATATCCTCCTCCACTGGCACCTGCAGAGCGAGATATGTCATATCCCCACTTTCTACAACATTGGAGTCTGCTCCTGCTCTCAGAGGGGCCGATGTATCCACAGAGGTGGATGTATTGTGTTGCTTCCTGACTGGGTGGGGATCAGTGACATCAACAGCTGTGTCAGTGTCAGCAGAAGTGGGTGACTCAGGAGTTCTGCTGGCCACCTCCATTTCAATGTCATTGATTGAGATTCCAGAGACCAGAGACATCACGTCCCCCGATTCACTGACAGGCACCACAACCCCATCAGCACTGTTTTCACTAATGTGACTCAGAGAGCGTAAGTACAATGTAGAGTTACTGCTGGTAATTATCGGCACATCCACTGGTGCCATAGAGGAGCGTTTCCCCGCAGCTTCTTCCTCACCGTCAGGCTTTGTTATCACAGTGACTGTCCCCTTTTCCTCATGCCTGCAAAATAGTTCATATATCAGATGTTGATAGAGCTCACCATAGAATAAGAATGTTATTTCATCCTTGTTCTCATGAGCAAACAAAACATTAACATTTTTTTTAATCTACCTGTTGCTCTCCGCTGGTTGTTTTGGTAGGATGATACCTTCCTTTTGAGCTGAGGAAGGCCAGTTTCCGGAGCAAGAAGAAACATCAGGCTGAAGGAGGGAACTCCTTTGTCCAACTGGCTGGACGTCTGGTGTCACCACTACTGCCTGGAAAGAGAGACACGCTAAGTCACAGAGTTAAAGTAGTAAACGCAGTAAAGTAAGCAAACCAGACCAGGATAAAGAGTAGACCGAGTGAGGACTGAGGCTCGTTAAAGAAACCAATTGTGCATGGTACCGGCGGCTCCTCAAGCTACTGAATCATGCAATGTACTTAGTTTTTACAAGACTGTACACATGCACATGATCTGCTGTACATACTAAAACTTTGATATGTATTATGTTTAATCTTGTATTCATAATACTTTTGTTACTGTGTAATGTTCAAACAGCTGTAGCCCCTCTGAATCTGAGGAAGAGAGATACAGATTGAATCCTTAATATTATCATGTCATAGATGAGTTCCATATCTGTTGTGTGTTACCTTTGGATGTGCAGGCAGCTGTGGGCTGGTTGAATCATCAGAAGATTCTGAAGAATTAGACCATGCTGGTCCATTCTCCAACTCTCCCTGTAGGCGGATCACGTTCTAAAAGAGATCAGCACATTTTAAAAGGCTTGACTGCAAAAAAGGGGGGAAAATGGAGACCTTTTACAACAAGCTGGCAGGAAACTGAGCAGTCACTGCACCTGGTTGTACATTATTTGAGCAAAGGCGACACACTTCCTTTACTCACATATTTAAAGTGAAAAGTAAGGTGAAGGCAAGACATGAGTCAGCATGTTATCCGTTTAACCAAAGGTTCAGAGGTGACTGTATGGGAACTTTTTTCTATTTGCTTGCCATTTTTAATATCAGTATAGTACAACATCCTTAGTCTAGCTCTGTAACACTGTAGCATTTATTTATAAAGAGAATAACTTTGAGTTACGCAACTATCGTGTAATATTCAAGAAAATACTGGCCAGTGCTACCCCTCAGCCTCCTCGTAGATCCACCCTTCGTTTCAATTTCAAAATCCTATGTCACCTTGTCGTCTAACTTCTGACCTTGAGGTCAAGGACAATGAGATTCGAACTCATCTGAGATGAGTCTGCTTTTAGTAGATATATCTATGGTATCGATTTGAAAATATAAGCAGACTTCATTCTCGAGTTATTGCAAGATTCTCAGAAAAGGTGACCTCTGATCTTTACCTGGCAGGGTGACAAATATACTGATGAGGTAAAAAGCTAAAGGCTTCAGTGCTTGTGTGAAATGGCTAGAAGGAGTTCTAAGTCTAAAAGTCATCATCATAAACTGGCACTGATGATGGCTAACAGTAGTCAGCTCTGTTGGAAGGTGGGGGTCTAAATATTATAATTAGAGAGCCATGGAGATGCATGAGGAAACCTTACACACATCTGTCATGGCTCCATGAAGCCATAAGCACACAAATGGAGACTATGATTCTAATGCTTACTCTACACCAAAGTATCAATATACCAGAAGGTCCTGTGTTTCTACTCCACGAGGTCTACTTCATCACGACTTACTGCAGTGGACTGCCTTGTTGGTGAGTTGTCACTACAGGAGCAGCTCTGGCTAAGAGTGCCTCTGAAGATGTCCAGCAGTGGCCAGTGCTGCCGCCGTGTCAGATTCCGAGGCAGAGACTGGACATCAAAGTGGCAGCAGGTGGAACAAAGGGCATTGGAGCAGTTAGATACTGAGGGCTGCTGGCTAAACTCTAATGTCCTTTAAAACTCTCAATGTTCTCATTTACAGATTCCTAATTTTATTTGGTGGATTAAATCTATAGAATAGATTTAATCGGTTATTTTTATTTTTTTTAAAAAAACATTGTGCTTTGTTTTTTTTATTAAAGCTGTGTTTGACTCCTCTCTCTCCTCCCCCTCTGGAAAAGGCTGTTTTTATCTGATTGGTGGATCCCAGGAATCCCAGGAATTTAAAACCTAGTGGGTGTTTAATCACGTGCATCATCACATGAGCCAAGGTGTGAAAAGAAAAGAAAAAAGGCGTGGATCATGACCACCAGAGGTTTTGGGTGAAACCACTGTGGGACCTTGTCCCATGCTATCATGTGACCTATTAAGGTCATCAGACGTAAGACACGAGTGGGGTTTGAAGGACTGGGAAGGGATCTCAAAACTATGTTGTAGGTGACTGACAGTTGGTGTTGGACGCCACCCCCTCATGGTTGTTCATAGTGGACACTGATAAAGATGCACACCCGAGTCTTATTGAGGTGGCTCTTCTATGCTGTGCCATGCTTCGAAAGGAGTGGCAATTTAGTTTCCTCAATTTAGAGGCCTGAGCACACTGATAAGTGTTCTTGCTTAGCATGTGTCTGGGAGTTTTTTCCTTATTCCTAAAGGTATTATCCTTTAGAATTTAGATGTTATGTTTATAGTTTTTGTCATTTTCCATTTCATCAATCCGTCTTTCTCCTGTTAGTGCTGCTTCCACATTTAGTTCTCTTTTCCTCCATTTTTCTGTCAGTGTTGTGTTCACATAGCTCATCACACACATCTGTGTTTACAGACTGAATATTTCCCATTTTTCCCTGTGAGTTTGTTTTTTCAAACAAAGTGTCAAGCCTTCATTTACTTCCTGTTTAAAAATAATTTTCCTATTGGCTCTTCCTTGTTGGTTTTCTCTGTGAATGAATTTCTGCCTTGTTTGACTTCCTGTGTTTTGTTTTCTAGCACTTTACAGAGAGTAAAGCTTCCCTTTCAGCTATTTTCTGTTGTGAGTGGGCCTATTCCTCCTGCTAAAACCAACAGTCTTTGTTAGTTTTCCAACTATCTGTATATGAATGCCAAGATAATACACATTAATATATGGGTAGTAAGTACGAGCAATCAGCAACTTTACACAAATTGTTCTAGGGTTAGACTGAAGCCTTTCAAAGAACTAATAGTCTAAAGCGAATGCTAAACTCACACGTAAAGGTGGTGTGTCAGGTGGAGTCTGGTCAAAAATGGCTGAGATTCGCTTATTGATGCTTGGTGGTTTGTTGACAGTGCTTGCAACCGATCCCTGGTCATCTTTATCAAACGGACTGAGAGAGGTGAAAAGGAATAAAGGATGGGAAAGAGAGAAAAGATAAATTCAATAAACATCAAATAATATTTACATTATGCTCTGTTAATGATCCCTTTAAATGAACAAACACTACAGCACTCATGAAGCTCAGTATGATTTCGTACCCTCACAAGATGACTGACAAAACTTACTTCCAGGTCACCTCAAGGCTTAGCTTAATAGTCCCAAGGTCATTAATATCCACAGCAACCATCTGGGGCAGCGCAGCAAACAGGTCCTTTGTTTCACAGGAAACACTTCCCACCACCACGTGATTGGCTAAGCTCTTTAGCTCTGTCACCTAGGAAACCAGAGAAATATCTGATCATTATACCATCTTTTTTTTTGCCTTCAACAAGTCCGTTTCAATCATCCAGGCTGAAAATAGTACACCCAAGTTTGTCAAGGTGCTGATGTCATTGGGAAAAGATATTATTATTAATAACACAATAGGATCACACAGTGTCTTTTATGGCTGAAGGGTAAAAAACTCACACATTCACCAATAATAATGGACAATATGAAGTTCCAGAGGATATTAAAGTATTATTCTTTGATAACTGAATTCAAAAAGGTAAACTTTCATACATTGTATATTCACTACATGCAAAGTGAAATATTTCAAGCTTTTTGTGTTTACATTTTGATAACTATGACTTAAAGCTCATGAAAATTAAAGATCCAGTTTCTGAAATTAGTACATTTCATTTTGAAATGATCAAATGATGATTAAATAAAAAGACTTTCTGTTGGTTAAAAAGGCCGCTGCAACGATGTATATTAATGGATGATGTATATTAATTAATGACTAGAAGGAAAAGGATGGTTTTGAAAAGGTGTAAAAGAAAGAGTATTGTCAAGGAAAATTGAAACATTTGGGACAGCTTTATAAAGAGTCAACTGAGGCTGGTGTCAGAGCATCAAGAGCCTCTACTCAATGTCTCTGGGAAAGTCAACTGCCCCCATGCCACAGAGCACAGATGCAGTAATGCTGACCCAATGAAGTATTGATTGTATGAATTAACATCTTTTCAGTACTTTCTGATTGGTCTTAGGAAATAATCTAAAAATTTTAGATGTTGCATTTTTGATATTCATTAACTACACTATGATTGGTCAAAATGTAAACAAAAAAAAGCCTAAAATATGTTGCTTTACATGTAACAAATACAAGCAAGTAAACTTTATGTAATAATTGATTTTTTCAGTTTTGAAGAAAATGTTACACACACACACAAACACACACACACACACACACACACACAACACACACACACACACACACACACACACACCTCAGATTTTTGTTTTTCAGATGCATTATTTTTATGACTTTTTACATAAGATGAAGCAGTCAATGACCCAAACCAGAACTGAGTATCAATAAAATTACAAATTAAAAAAAACCCCAAAAAAAAAAAAACCACACTGAGTGACAGACCTTCACAGACAGGAACTCGTTGATGAGTGGCTGAAATACAATCTCTTCACTGTCCCACACTTGTTTAGCATTTATCTCTATTCGCCCCCGGAGCTTCCACCGCTGCCGACCATACTTCATAAAGATCTGAAACATACACATATGCAAAAACAAACAAACAAACACAAACGCAGGGTTATACAAATAGATGAATAATAAATTAATTTTAAAATCTGGAAAATCCGGTTGGCTACTTCAAAATTATTGATAGTTTGAGCAGTTTATATAATCATGTGATGATTTTCATAAAGCTCAGATTAATCTGACAGGGTTGAAAAGAATTGACAACTCACATCTTAACTACATAGCTATAAATGTCAATGGCTAGAGCATGAATGTGCAAGTGATGAGGCCACTTTTACAAAAACAAAAGTATCCCTCTAATTTCATAACTGATCATACACACAATCACACAGGACCTGCTGCCGTGTACACTTAGAGATAACTCCACAGGGAACAGCTGAAGCAGTGTTTTCACACAGGCACTGGACAAACCCTTCTCAAAACCGCGATAAGTCTAAATGGTTTACTATTTATATAGCAATTTGCTGTATAAATACTAATATTGCTTAGTGAATACTTAACACACCTTTACAATACAAGCCACAATGACCCATTCATACAGCAGATTTCATTCTGTCATTTGTGCACTCTATGCAGTCTATCATGCTGATGCACCAGAGGACATCGCCTGCCCAGCAGGGTGGCAACAATAAGTAGCAATTTTATTTTAAAAAGGACTAAAAAAAAAAAAATGACTACATAACATGTGCTACAGACAAGTGTTAGTAATGGCAATGAGTCTTTCGATCACCATGCATGTGAACTATGTGGATCGGCGACGCGAGCCTCGTTCGGTTGTAAGCAGTGAGAGGCTTTGGACCATGACCTTAAAACCAGGTCATTCAATGCTCAGCACTGTTTTGACTCATGCCACATTATAATGAGCCATCGGCTCTATACTGAGCTATGGAGTCTGGAGCCTGTTAGTACCGAGAGCAATGATCAACAGGAGTATTTCATCAAGAGAGAGGGATCAAAGTACTCATGGTGTGCCGAAGGATCGAACACAGAAACACCCATTGGTCATTGTAGATATTTATAGGTTAAAGGTCAATTAATTTATATTTTCATCGATTCCACTAAGTATCTCAATCGGTTGTTCCAGATCTTATAGGCCATTTTTTGAGTTCTGCATGTCTGCTATGTAATCATGATATAAGACCTAGCTATTGTCTCCTTTCAGCGTATATTGTTATGTGTAGTAGGCAGCAGACTTCCTGTTTAGAGAGCAGAATTTATAGTTCATCAATTACAGCAAGTAATCCAGGTCCTGAAGCAGCAAAGCAGCCCCAGACCCACCAGCATGTTTAACTGTTGGTATAGTGTCATTTTCATGAAAAGATGTGTTAGTTTTATGTCAAATGTAACAGAGTCAAACCATTTTGTCTCATCAGTCCACAGAATATTTTCCCACAAGTCAATCATTAAGTTGTGTTTTGGCAAATGAGCAAAGGAGCCTTTGTGTTCTTTTTGGTTAGCAGTAGTTTTCTCCTTGATTTCTCCCATTTTCCCCCAGTTTCTTTCTTACTGTTGAATCATGAACTCTGACCTTAACAGAGACAAGTGAGACCTGCAGTTTTTCAGATGTTTCCCTTGGTTCTTTTGTGACCTCCCGGATGAGTCATTAATGTGGTCTCGGATGCTCCTGGAAAGTTTTCCATGTGTGGTTAATTGGTCTCACTATGGTTACTAAAGCCTTTGGAAATGGCTTTGCAACCATTTCCAGACTTATAGATGTCAGTGATTTTGTTTCTCTGGTGTTTCTTTAGAATATGGCATGAGTTGTTGCTTTTTGAGATCTTCAGACCTGCTTCACTTTGTCAAACAGGTTATATTTAAGTGATTTCTTGATTTATCGGGTCTGGCAGGAGTAAGGCCTGGGTGTGGGGCTAGTGAAATATAACTCCGCTTTGCAAATAATGTGGTTAATCACAGTTAATTCATGATTTAATGAGGGGGCTTTAACTTTTTCCACACAGGGCAGGTAGACTTTGATTATTTCCTTTATTAAATGAAATGAACATTTAAAAACTCCATTTTTATTATTTCAGATTACCTTTGTCTTATATTACATTTTAATTTTCAATTGTGTTTCTATGGATGGATGTGAATGGATAAATGAGGCATGTTGTATGGAAAGCTCTGAGAGCTCAGAAAAGTGCTTTGGAAGAACCTTTCCATTTATAATTTGAAACAATTAGTGTGAAGAGTCACAAATATGAGAAGAAAAAGAAAAAGGGGGGGGGGGGGGGGAAATACTTTTCCAAGCACTGTATGCTGGTTGGGCTCTAATCATTACATCATGATGAAGGACAAGGACGGCACAAGCAGAAGAAAAACCACAGGTGGAAGATAGCGACTAGTGTAGCTGCTACAACAGCATTGCCCCTTAATAGGAAAGTTGATACTCTGAGGTGGATGACCAGTTGTCCATTTTCTTCTGCTTATCCCGGGCCTGTCAGGGGGCAGCAGCCTAAGCAGAGAAACCACAGCCACCTCCGTCAGCTGAAAGAAATCTCTCCAGGGTCACCTGGGTCTTCCCCGGGGCCTCTTCCCAGTGGGACATGCCTGGAACACCTCACCCAGATGGCCGAACCACCTTAACTGGCTCCTTTTGATGTGGAGGAGTAGCAGCTCTACTCTGAGCCCTCCTGGATGGCCGAACTCCCATCTCTAAAGCAGAGGCCAGCCACCCTTCGGAGAAAGCCAATTTCTGCCGCCTGAAGAAGCCGATCCTGTTCTTTCAGTCGCTGCCCAAAGTTCGTCACGATGGATGAGGAGGGTAAAAACGTAGATTGACCGGTGAGGGTATCACTTTTGCACTCAGCTCTCTCTTCACCACAACAGACTGGTACAGCGATCGCATGACTGCATCCACAGAACCAATCCGTCTGTTGATCTCAACCCTGCCCTCACTCTGAACAAAACCCGAGATACTTCCCTAAGTGAAGCAGTAACTCGACCCTGACCAGGAGTGGGCACTTCACCCTTTTCCGGCTGAGGACCATGGGCTCAGATTTGGAGGTGCTGGTTCTCATTTCCACTGCTTCACACTCGGCTGTGAATCGCTCCAGTGTGATGATGAAGCCAACAGAACCACATCATCTGCGAAAAGCAGAGATGAGATTCTAAGGCTACGTTCACATTGCAGGCGAAAGCGCACCAAATCCGACTTTTCTGACCCTATGCGACCCATATCCAATCATACTATGACAGTTTGAACAGCACAAATGTGATATTTTCAATCTGAACTAGGTCACTGACGTATGTGGTACTGAATCGGATACATATCTGATGTTTCAGAAAGCGACTACTGTTTGAACGGTCATGTCGCATTAAATCCGTCTTTTACGTCACTGACACAAGACAGACGCCAATTATCAGCACCGGAGAAGCGCCCGAGAAGACATCGTGAACGCTTCCTGGCCATCCAGTGAAACTGTTGGGAAGACAACGTTGGAGAAACGTGAACATTTTATTTGTACTGTATAATCTGCAGATTCTGACAGAAATCTGCAACTATCCTTTGAAGCACCGCTCCTCTCTAAAACAGCAATAAGGATAATTATTAGGCCATATGTAAATAACAAAATAACTTTATAACAAAATTGGGAAACGTAAAGTCGAAACAAGTCTTTATATTAAGGGCCATCAGTCAAACAATACTGTTTGGTCTGGGTCTAAACAGAGTGCGTTGTGTGTGACGTCTTCTTTTGCGCATGCGGGCCGCTTTGAGGTTCACACTAGAGCGCGTTTGCTGTCACATTTTATTTGTAGTGTGAACAAGCAGACAAAATAAATAAAATAAATAAATAAATAAATAAAATAAAAATAAATAAATAATAATAATAATAATAATAATAATAATAATAATAATAATAATAATAATAATAATAATAATAATAATCGGATTTGATAAAAAAAAAAAAAA